TAGTTTGTGTCTTTGCTAGTTATATTTAAATATAACTTCACACCCTTGCTGCTGTTGTACAAGGGAGATCTTTTACAGGTGCTCTTCAGGGTCCTGTTTCGCGTCCTGTTTGGGTCAATTTATATATTAACAAAACTTTCATTTTTCTTCCTGAAAACATTTCAATTTTGGGCTATACTAACGAGCTTGTCATTTTCAGTTCCAACTCTGATCCAAATTTGTGTAGCCGTTATTTGCAATTTGTGCTCGACACTATTTCCCCTCGTCCCTATTCACTGCAGCTTCCACTTTAAGTTAATAAGGCCAAATGCGTGGTCCTTTCCAAAAAAAAAAAAAAAAAGACTCTTGGGTTACTCCTCTTCTTATATATGGTTCTTCTGTTGCGTTCGTTAAAACATTCGACTTCTTATGCTTTGTTCTACACTCGAAAGTTTCTGATGCTGCTCACATTGTCAATATATCACTCAATTCCTCTCCTTTCTTTTTTAAACTTTTTACTGACAAAATTAATGATTTCAACATTCTAAGGATTGATATACATAGCCTATTCAAAACTCCGTTTAGTTGTCAATGTTTTCTTACCAGTGAGAAAATGCACAGTTACTCCGGCAGAAGCATTTTCCACTCATCTTTACTGATGGATCTAAGACCGGTGCTGTAGCCAGCGGCTTTTGGTTTCCAAATATTAATATAGAACAAAATATCCACGGTCCAGTGATACGGATTGTGTCTTAGAAAAGCGAATTTCATAACAGCTGGTGTCAGAAGTGAGATCTTGGAAACCAAGAGAAATGGTGAAACTAGAAGAACTGAAAGTGGATCAGCTCAAAGGGGAGTTGGGAAAAAGAAACCTTCATACAGTAGGTAGCAAAGTTGAATGAAAACAAAGATTGGTCGAACAGTTAGAAAAAGACGGACAGATCCCGTCCATAATTGAATTCGAATATAACATAGAGGAAATGGAAGAAGCCGGCAACTCGGAAGGAACACAAAATTCAGCTACAGCGGGGAAAAAACACAGCGAAGAAAAGGGCGAAGATGGTCCAAGCATATCAAACGTTGTGAAGTTTACGCAGCAAATGCAACAACAAATACAACAAACACAACAGATAGAATCGAAAGTTGACGAAAAAAATCAAGTAAATCAACGCATCCTGCGAGCACATATAGACGAAGCATACCAGCAATTGGATGCCAGAGTAAATGCACAGGGAGAAGATGCAGACGCTTTAAAAAGTGAAATCAAAGCCTTAAAAAAAGAATGTACGAAAGACAACAATTTAATACCAGTACGGCTGTTAAACCCAACCAGCGTTACAACAAAAATTCACAAAGGGGACTTTAAAGCGCAATGCCAAAAAGCCGAATATGTGGTAAATCATCAAGCCGAAATTCCGAAAACATGCTCAAAGATGTCCTCAGAGCCTGAAATTTTCATAAAAAGATGGACTAATAATCTGCATGAGCAGCAGAAGAAATATGCCAAAAAGTTTTTGCTGGAAAATTGGTCCCTAATGTTGCGAAACATGTAATCAACACTGGAGAAGAAAAAGAGGAGAAGTGGCGGACTTGATCAAAGATAAGCAAGAGCGAAAAGTTATCGAATCATCAAATAGTCCTTGGTGTTCGCCAGTAGTTCTTGTTAAAAAAAAGGATGGGTCTACCAGATTTTTGGTGGATTATGGGAAGTTGAACGAAGTGACCAAGAGGGATAGCTAACGTTTTGCCTAGGATCGACACATTGTCAGGTTCGCAATGGTTCGCAAACTTAGATTTGAAGTATCTGCCTTCAGACCAAGGTAGAAACTTCGAATCTTCGATATTTCAAGAGGTTTGCCAAACGTTTGGCATTACTAAAACTAGATCGACTCCGTTGCATCCTCAGTCTGACGGATTGGTCGAAAGGTTTAATCGAACACTCCAAGAACGTCTGCGAAAAGTGATCAACGACAATCAGCAGGACTGGGGTGAACATATACCAATCTTTTCAATGCCATACAGGTCAGCAGTGCACAACACCGCTGCTCTACCCAGGTGCAAATTTTGTTCGGGTCTAA